CAGAGATTAGTTAATGTTTTTAAGCAGGAGGCTAACTTGACTGAATCAGTGGCTGCATGGACACAGGAATGACAAGGGAAAAGTTGATGGGATTTTGCAGCTAAAATTGAGCCTCTTGTGAACAGGGTAAAGGAGACCTATGCTGTTCACCTTAGTTTTAGTTGACTGTTTAAATCAACAGTGTAACATGGCTATCTATCTGTAAGCTAAATTAAGTAAAATATAGTGCTCAAAACAAAAGAGGTGATATTTACACTTATCCAGGACCAATCTGACCATTCCCAGTCAGCTCTGGGTGCCGCATTTTACAAAGGGCACAGATGACTTAGAGCTTGCGTGGGATCTGAGGGGTCTGGATCCTAGGTCTTAGGAGAAATGATTGAATAGACTGAGAATGTTTAGGCTTAGCAGGGATGTGATCGCTGTTATCATGCATTTGGAAGACATATTGTAGAAAAGGGTTTAGGTTGCATGTGCCAGTCTTCCTAACTCCAGCGAAGGAAAGCCAATAAAAAGAAACTACTGGAGATAATTTTCAAATCAAAATATGAGTTTAGTTCCCAAAAGTTAGCATCATAAAAACATGGAGTAGGCTGTCTCTTATTTAGATGCTTGCGTAACCTGGATGACTCTTTTGAAAGATTCTGTAGAGTATTGAATCATTTGGTAGGAATTTGTGGCTCTGTGACCCCAGAGGCCCTTGTATTTTAAGAGTCTGTCAAAATAGCCTCTCAATTAGAAGCGTATTAGGTTCTTCCTAGCTCTAAAATGCTGAGAACTGTGGAGAAACCTTGTCAAACAGAACACTTCTTTGGGCCTCTACCCCACAGTTTATAAAATAAAAATCATTGAACTAAAAATGGTCAACACGATAATTCCCAGTTCAAAAAGATCCAATGAGGGGAAAGAAGAGATTTTATGATTTGATGGATAAATATAATAAAATATAGTTCCTTTAAACTTTGGATTGGAGAATACTTGAAGTTTTTGAATTTGTTGAAAGTCCATTCTGGTGGGATGTGTTGGTTTTTAATTTTTGAAAGCATTTTTATTAAGTAAAACATTGTTATACAATAAATAACTCACCTAGGTAAGGTAAATGTACCTAGAAAACTGGGTCTGCATCTTTTTTGGTATTAGAATAGTCAAGTATATAAAGAAGAGGGGATAGAGTAATTGTCCTGCAAGATACTATTGAGTTTCAGGGTAAGATAATTTCATGAGTTCACAAACCTTATTTTTATTGTTGTTGAAAGTTACCAGGATTTTTTTAGTTGTACTATAAAAGTACAACTTTTTCTTATATATAAACGTCCTTTTCTGTATAAGAGGAAAGGTAGACATTTGTGACCTGCACTGTTTCTGTTTGTTCTGTTGAGTATGGTTGTGAGTATATAGTAGATAACAAAATATTAATGGAAAAGTGAATGGACTCTTTATAACCTGTTTTCCTCTTTTCTATACTTTAGCCTCACATGCTTAAGCCAGATAGGGCTTCCAGAAGTTAGCTATTCACAACGTGAAAAAGGTCAAATTGAATTCATTGTTGACAGTATAAAGAACAGATGTTGTCATAAAATAAGGAAAAGAAAAACTGGCCAATGACTAATAGCATGATATTTTGTGAAGTCTGTGTGTATAGAAATAGCAATGGAAAATTTCTACAAAACAACCTATATGACCATGGTATGAAATGTGTGCTTTTGTATTATGGGTGTATGTGGTCTGGTATTTAGTCATAATTGAAAACTACACAGTGATTAATAACTTCTAAGGAATTTTAAAACTTCTATTGGTATATAAGATATAAACTGTGGTCATTAAAATTCCCATCCATATTTTTTTAGTTTACATTGAAATATAACTTCAAACAAGAACTCTGCTTCAGATTTTTCATTATAACATCACTATTTACGCTTTATTGCTGAATGTAAACAGAAGAATTTATATAACTTAAAGAACATGTTCTGTGGTGAGAGATCTCAAATGCAGCCAACATAGAGTTCTCTTATTATTGCCAAGAGACCAACAGGCCATGTTTTGAGCATATATATGAAACCATGTATTTAATCCTATTAAAAACAATAAAACAAGGAAAGGGGCTTTTTTTTTTAAGCAAAAGGCAAATTCTGCTGTATGGTTTTACAATTTTAAAGAGAAATTCATTTATTCGTGAATATTTATTGAGCAACTATTTTGTGCCAGGCAGTGTTCTAGATTGTGGGGGTAAAGCAGCGAAAAAAACTGACAGCAATCCCTGCCCTCGTGGAACTTCCATTCTAGTCAGCAAGACAGATGAGAAACAAGTCACATAGCAGAGTAGCCAGTTATAGGCGCTATGGGGAAAGGGAAATAGAGCATGCCCAGTGGGGATGGGGCTGTGAGGTGTGGCAGGGGCTGCAGTCTGGAGTGGGGGGTTGGGGAGGGCTTTTCTGAGAATGTGTTATTTGAGTAAAGACATGGAGGGTGGAGGGGAGTAAGTGATGTCCTTATCTGTTTGAAGTTGGCCAGGAGGAGAGGAGAGCGCATGCACACGAGTATGCCTAGTCCTGCTTGAGTGAGGTGCACCCTGGTCCCATGTGTCTGGATAAGCGAGAGTGAGTGGTAGGGAGACCAAGTAGTAGAAGATCAGGTTTGAGGTGGGGCACAGGCCTGACTTTGGCTTTTACTTAACGGTGGGAATCACTGGAGGATTTTAAGTCCAGGAATGGCTAATTTATGCTTTTTAATGAAAAGAATGCATAGCTGCTTAGTCAACTGTGTTTGAGTTCAGATGATTTGAATTGAGGGGGGAAGAGGGAGGGCAGGGAAGGAGAGACCAAACAGTTCTTTTGTGTAGAATTGAGAACAACAATTTAAATAAGTCTCTGCTTATTAAAATTGCTTTGTTAATTTATTTTAATCCAACAAATAATAAGGGTCTATATTAGGCACTAGGGGAGGATGCAACACTAAATAGAACATGGTGCTTTCTCACAGAATTAATAATCTAATGGTAGTTTTTAAAGAACCTATATAGTTCAAGTCTGTATCATACAACTGTTCAAGAATTAGGATAATTTCATTGCCCCTAATTTAATGAGCTCCTATGCTCTGTCAAGCACTGTGCCAGATGCTGGGAGGACCAAGGGATGCATTTCCTTCCCTGCCATGGGGTATGCTCAGTCTAGAAGGCGGACCAGATGAGTGAGGCATTCATGACAGATCTGTTGTGCCGTCTACATACCTCTGCTGCCCTATCCCTGTCGTCCTCCTCACAAGATTGCGAGAGGCTGCATCTTATGCATCTTTGTGTCTCCAGACCTGACCCAGTGTCTGACACTTGGGTGTTTACTGCTTGGGGTTTTCCCAGCATTTGTTGTGTATGCCTGTTGATGCTGCTGCCATTAGTCACATTTGCAGTATACATTTGCTTTTGTTTTGTTTTTAATATTAGAATTGAGAGAACAGTGAATGATTTTTTTAAATAACCCAATCTCTATCAATGATGAGCTAATGTACAAGAGGCCAAGAGAGTCCTGTGTTTCTACAAAAAGTGTAGTGAGGACATTTCTTTGTGGAAGTGAAAAATATTTCTTGTGTTTTCTTATGGTAAAGAAATAGTTCTTTATACTGATGCCACTCACCCCCAAAAATGGGAAAATAAAAAATTGACAGAGTAATTAAGCCAAGTGTTTAATGGAGAATGGGTGCTAGTGTGTGTCCAAACTCACTCATGTTGTCTGCCTAGACCTTGTAAGAATGTGAGTTTGCGATCCTGGAGCTAATTCCTTGAGGTCAGCAACTGCTTTTTACTCATAGATATAGATGGAGCTCCTATACCTGTCCTACTGCCTCTTACAGAGTGCCCAGGTGATTATTGAAACAGTGAAACTGGGGTAGCTTTGAGGGCAAAGAAGAGAGCTACTCACCACCAAGAGGAACTGGAGAAATCGCTGAAAAGAGTTGAGTGTCCTCATTAGGAAAGTGAGAAGGACATTTAGGTTGAAAGAATAACCCATGTTAATGAATAAGGGCCTAGTGTGCCCAAGGAGCATCTGTGGGGGATGGGAATGAGAGGGAGGGGCCAGGTTAGGGGAACAGAGAGGACTCAGTTGTGGGAAACTACACTGGAATTGGAGGGCTTTGCTATTTCATGCTAATATTTCACTTTCCTCTTTGCATACTGGGGGTCTGTGAAAGAAAGGGTTTTAAATAGGTGTGTGGCATGATCGGAGTTGTGTTTTGGGAAGAAAATACTGTTAACAATGTTAAGAAATGGATTAGAGCAAAGACTTTTAAGTCTCATGGCTTGTGACTTTTTAATATGTCCAGGTGAGGGTATCAAATTGAGTTTTATAACCCAGGTGAGGGGACAGGCAGACAGTCTGGGACTCACTTCATTTTCTTAATTCTAGCCATGGAGGCTTGTGATTATACAAGGAAAGACTGGAGCAAGAAGAAAAGACTATAAGGGAGCCTTAGAGAGGGTATAAGAGTGGTAGAAGAAACATAGGGAGACCAGCAAGAAACAATGTTTAAGACAAAATGAGGAAGGAATTTGAGGAAGGTAGGGGGCAGGAGTGAAAGGGATGTCAAGTGCTGTGGTGATATATGGACAAAGTCTGAAGTGAAGCTTTTGGACTTAACCACGACACATTATAATGTGTTATTGCTTTTGGTTTTTCTTTCATTAGATTTTAAGTAATTCATGGGAAGAATCATAGGACCAACTTTACATTTTCTCACAATGCCTGACAATTAATTAGTAGATGCTAAACCACCTTTTTGCAATAGTTTTGGGATAGTTGACAAGGATTAAATTTAAAGAATGTTATATACAGTGCAAATTATTTCAGATATGATGCACATTTAGAAGGCAAATTGTATATGTGTATCTAAGATCATGCTTTCATACTGAAGTAAAATTATAAGCAGTGCTACATCAAATACATATTAGCCATTGGTATTTTTAAATGGAGTGTTATACTATAGTGATTTTTCTTTATTTGTTTGCATAGCCTGGCACCTGTGTTTGCTCTGTTTGTACCATTTTACTGCTCCATACCAAGAGTCCAAGTGGCACATATTCTGGGCCCGTTGTCCATCACAAACAAGACATTGATTTATATATTGGGACTGCAGGTATAGTATGCATTTTTATGTTCACATTTCTTTAACCAGATCTTTTTTTTCTTTTCTTTTTTTGGTCTTTTTCTCATTTGATCTCCTTGAAAACAGTGTTTTTTCCCATAAGTTTGGCTTTATGATCTATATCAAATGTTCAAAGGAAGTGTTACAGAATGAGAACATCAAGGTATATAAGGTACTAGAATACTTTCATAGCTTTTAGAATCTGATAAGAGCTTTCACTGTAATTCGTATCAGTGGAAAATATTTTAATTGTACAGTTGCGTATAAGTATTTTCTCAAAATCATAGTATGAAGTGGAAACAAATGAGAAGAGTCAAAAGATGGAAAGTGGAAAATCACTGTCAAAATTAATTTATTGAATATGGTGTCACAAATAAAACTCTGAAGAAGAAACCAGATATGTTTTACCAACTCAAGCGTTGGGCTTTGCTTTATCAGCTTTACAACTTCTGTGTTACATAGGCATGACAGCAATGCCACCACCTGCTAAATGGTTTGAAATGAAGACCATTAGGGTACTTATTATTTGACTTAAATTGAAAAAAGTTATTATTACCAATATTCACAAAATATTGATTACTCTCTTCTGGGCTCCAGGCCCATTGATACCTATGATTTTCAGTTTTCTACCTGTAATACTAGTACTTGTCACTTTCCTTGCACTCACAGCTTTTGATATAAAACTTTTATTATGCTATTTTCTGTGGTACCATGTGTAGCTTGGCCTTTTGATCCACTGTTAATACTCATAACATTCCTTTTCCCACATATATCAAACCAGATAGTAGTGTCTCTGTAAAATGCCCTCCTCCCTCCCCTTTTAACCTTTAGCATTTCCTCTAACTTCTCTAGTCTGCTCTCATCTGTTATCAATGGCTCATCTGGGGTGGGTGTTCTTTTGATCACTTTTACAACCGTTTCTCATGAAATGTGTTTATTCCTCATCTCTCAACCTGCATAGTGTTACAGTCTCCCTATCCTTCCTAATATTCATATAATGTAATAGCTTATTTCTGCAGTTACTAGGATTTGCTGTGACATGTTTTGGGGTGTTTTTCTTTTTCTTTTTTATGATGTTACATCAGAAGGCAGAAAGCAGTGGTAGAAGAGAGCCCTGGACCTGAGGCGGGAAACCCAAGTTCTAGTTCTAATGTGTCACTCACTAGCCTGTGCCTTGGGTCAAGTCATAGAAGTCTTCTGAGCCTCATGTTGACTCTATAGTTCCTTCCAACTCTAATGTTATAGACCATCTTTGAGGGTGAAAAACATTGTTTTATTAATTATGGAGTAGAAATTCAATGGAGCATTGTGTAAAGTCTTTGGAGCCAAAGTGACTTGGTTTAATTACTTGCTCTGATAATTATTTGCTTTGTCTATCACCTTTTCTGAGCCCCCATTTTCCCATATGTAAACTGGGGATAATATCTAGCTTACAGGGTCATTTGAAAGATTAGAGATCATAGTATTGAGTGTTTAGGGTAATCTGAACAGATAATAAGAACTAAGTCCATTGGTTCTTACTAATGAATAATTTATGTCTCTCTAGCTACTACCTTTGGTGTTCTGAAATTATTTTGTGTTTTTTTGTTTGTTTTGTTTTTTTGGTGAGGTGGAAGTTGGTATCAGAAAGTAGAGGTGGAGATGCCTTAGTGACTTTTTGATAAACTCTAAAGTCCTTAACATGAATGGTATCAGGGTTCTTCTTGCCTATCCAGTATCAACTCCCACCCCTCCCTGGAAGTGAGTATCAACCCCTTCTTCTCAAAGTTCTTATTTCCTCTCTCCCTCACTCCCCTCTAAATCTTTGCACATGTTTCTGTTCCTTTCTGTCTTCCACACCACAGCTTCTTGAAGCCACAGACATTTGATGAACGAATGACTTTAATCATTATCAGAAGAACAAAAATGTTTGTGAAGAGTTATTTAAATATCAGATGGCTTGGGAGACAGTCATGTAATGCCGTATGCTAGGGATGGGGAGGATGAAATGAAGTGAATTGTGATAACCTGTAGTTAAGGAGTCAGAAAATATACACACTGTCAAAACATGCAGAGACCCAGTTGGGACTAAAAATGCAATATAATGAGGGGTTGAAGAGTCCAAAGGAAATAATTTTTTATTAACAGAATTAATGATACATTCATCTTTCTCGTGTATGAGCCATAGTACAATGGAGCTGTCATAAGCACAGGGCTGTTGAGCCAGACCACTGGGGTATATACTCACAGCTCCACCACCCACCAGCTCTTTGACCTTGAGCAAATTACTTAACCTCTCCGTTTTCTCATGGGTAATATAGAGTTAATAATAGGACTTACCACTCAGGGTGATTAGGAGGATTCAGTAAGTTTAATGTATGAAAAGCATTAAGATCACAACTTGGCACAGAAGTGCTATGAAAGTGTTAACTATTTTATTATTCTTTATATTTTTAGAAGAAAACTACAGAAAAATATTTTCTTTTAAATAGAATAATTCTCATCCTTGTTACTACCAGTCATTTAAACTGAAAAATGATTCGTGGTAGATCAAAGGATTAAATTTTAGATCAAGGGATTAAATTTAAAGTAGCAACCAACGTTCATTTCTACTTAAGCTAGCAATCGCAGAGCCTGTCAGCGGCCTTTGACTTGTGCTTTGTCATTGTTTACCTTTGTGTCTGTCTTCTTTCTATGTATCTTTTTTTTCCATGTATCTTGGTATAAATGTGTAGAACTTTGAGGTTTCCATCCAGCACAGTGTCAGCAATGAACCTGGGTATCCTGCTTTTTCTGTCTGAGCAGAAGTACTTAAATTCCTGACCTAAAGATCTAAATGTGAACAAACACTAGATTACAGATCTTTACTTTCTTGCAGGAATCCTTTTAAATGTCTTATGACTTTTTTTTTTTTAACCCTGAGCACAACACTTGGATGTAAATGATTTAGAAAGCAAAGGGAGAGAGATTTCATGAGGCTTAATTCTAATTACTTTTGCCATTAATTAACTTTGATATCACTACTTAGTTTGCTGTTCCTTGGAGGAACTGGGATGAGAATATCAACAGTTACACAGAGTAGCATTGAACATGGACCTATATACTTGAGATCTTCCCATCTAAATTTAGAGTAGCTGTGATGAGAAATTAAAATGAGAAAATTATGTGAGCTAATATTGCATATCATTTAACATCAAACATTGGATGGTGACTACATATTTTTATATTGTTAATTCTAATAATTCCTTTATATGTGGTATTTTACTTAACTAATCTACATTTGTAAATGAGAATATGCATGAATTTTACTTATTTTTCTTTGCATGGGAGTGGGCCAGGTTCAACCAATGCATTTTAGCTATGAAGAGTGAAGGTCTTGGTTAAAAAAGAGAAAAATTAATATATATTATTTTCTTTTAAATAATGGAATTGATATTTATTAATTTTCTATTTGTTTATATTATGATATATAAGTAATTCTTAACATAAATGGTTATGATTATAATTATGTAAACATTAGTATGCTGTGACTGGCAGTTGAATTTAATTTTTAGTTGCCTTTTTTTTCTTTTATAGCTTTTCACCTCTGGTTCCTACATCTGGATTGTAGCCATAAGTGGACTTGTAAGTGTGATTCCCTCCCCTCCCTATTCCCTCTCTTTTCTGAATAAACTTTAAGGAAAATGTCATATTTAGATTATTGGTCATATTCAGTTTTCTCCAACATTTTTTAACCATATTGGGTTCTGTCTCAATGCTACTTCCTTAGTGATAAAAAAAAATAAAAAGGCTGATTACATGGACAATTGAGGTGAAGGAGGCCTGTTTGTCTTAGTTTTCAAGGTAACTTTGATGCAAGTTTTAGCTGAGTTTATTGTCAGTGTTATTTTAAAATTACATTAGTAGTTGAACTCATAGTAGGAAAGAAATGACAGAAAAAGAAAATGAAGAAGTTGGGTTTACTAAAAATAATAAGAGGTATTCTTCTTGTTTTGTTAAGAGACTTTGTCATGCAAAGGAAAAAAACAAGGCCAAGTGGAAAGTCAGGTGGATTGGAACTGACAAAAGATTCATTGGGGTGTGCGGCCAGAGAGGGAGAAGTGAATGAGCCTGAGGATTGGGGTGGTGTCCTCATTCTTTTTGCTAGAATGTCTTCACCTCGTCCATCCCCATGCTGCATTTGTCTTAAACTCTACTTATGAGGTATTTAAAGAGACATCTAGAACATGAAATTCAACTTTACTTTTCATCCATGACTTAAATTTGAACCCTCAAATTTATATAAATAGAAGTTTATAACTATATGGAATATAGTTTTAATTTCTTTCTTGGAAACATCAAATAAAATTACAAAATAGATTCATACTAATATATAAACATCAAAGAGACCTTTGGAAATAACTATGCAGTCTACTATAGACGTTTTCATTTTAAGTGATTTATCACTATAACTGGTTTTCCGATGAATGGTATTTTGGGCTATGTGTCATTATTTTAAGCCTGCTCACTTCTCTCCTTCCTTTATGCTCTGTGTATTATTCCTTTGTGTTTGTTCTTTTCATATACAACTTAATCCTTCATTCCCCACAGTTTCCAGGCAAAATTCTGGGTATTGAAGTCACTTTGTTTCCCTCTCCATAAGATACCAGATACCTGATTTGCTTTAGGACCACAGCACTGAACTCCACTGTGAGGTCTTTGAACCATCTGAGCCACCTGGTATTCTTAAGACTTGTGGTGACTTAGAGACAGCCTGACATCAGAATGAGTCCATGGGCACAATTGCCAGGCTCTCCCTAGTCTAATGTCATTCCACTTGAACTACTAGTTTGATTGACAGCTACTTAACTAGCCTGTGAAAATAGATAGCTCATTGCTTTCATCATTAAAGCAGCATGAGAATTTACTGTTTCGTTCATGATACATTTTGTTTCTCTTAGTAGTGGTGATTTCACTCCTGTTTTGGATATTTTTCTAAAACATTCAAGAATTTGTGAAGTAACGTATTTTATCGTGTTAATTTACTATTGATTGATTTGTTCTCATTATCCAAATACTTCTTTAATAACTCATTATGTGATTCAGTTTTAAGACATCTCATTGTCTTTCTTTAATTCTGTTTTCAGACTCCTGGTTTAAATTAAGAGCTAGCTGACACCTCAGGTAGTTTAATTTTGTGACATTCAGTACTCTAGAATTGGCAGTTGCGTTTTTCATCCCTTTTAATCTTTTTAAAATCTAAAATACACATGTGAAGGCACAGGTTTTTTTTTCAGTACACATGCTTAACAGGTAATAAGGTGCTATTTTAATTTTTTTAAGAATCAGAAGTTTAACAAGTTTTTAACATAAAATTCCCTTGTTTCAGAAGAATAAATAGAATTACACAGCATTTGGAATGTAATTTCCAGATAAATTTAGCATTTAAATAATCCCACTATTAATAAATACTTCTGAGCCAAATGAATCTTCACTTTTTACAGTAATTAATTCAGCCATTGTTATTGACCTCTCACCATGAACACAAATCTGATAAATCTTCACATCAGCCTTGTTTATTATTATTCCACCATAATCAGATGATACTATGTTTATTTCAAATGATTAATATTAGTGAAAAAAATCAGACCCAGTTTTTCTTCATGATGTACCATAATATCAGTGCTTGTTAAGAACTTAATATTTCTGACTTTTTTTCAGGAAAATACATTTTATTATGAAATATTTAATATAATATGCTATACTTTAGATAAGGATAATTATAAAGAATATTAAAATTATTTGTGAATATTCGGTTTACACACCAATGATTATAGGATCAAAGTCTAAGATTCACAAAGCCACAGCTTGTCCCAGATGTCTGTTGCTCAACGTGACTTCTCCTCTCCCCATGTATATCAAGTGACTTCCTTTTTTTTTGTTTTAACGCTAAATAAAATACTAAAAATAAAATAAAATTCTTACTACCAAAAAGAAATGCACAGATGGTATTCAGTGTTTGGGGGGAATGTTAGAAAACCTGTTGATGGAATTTCTCCTTTTTAGCATTATAGCCATTAATTCTCTTAACATACTGTCTGTGTTAAGGAAGTAATTTTATTTCAATCTGGCAATTATGTGTTGTTTTTTTGAGAGAAAGCTTTTTTAAAAAAAGACATTTGTGTAAAACGTAAGTCATATGTTACCTGCTGTCATAGAAACCAAAAACTTTACTCATGTTTTCTGGAAAGCTGCCAGCTTTGAATTTAGCTTATTTTCTTTAGTTATTGGTGGATTACTTGGGTTAGGCTAGTTTTTCTTGCTCCTTGTGTCAGGTATTCTTAAATAATCATAAATGTTTCTTAAATGATCATAAATGTTTCTGATCATAAATGTTTTCTTGCTCCTTGTGTCAGTTATTCTTAAATGATCATAAATAACTTTAAAATGCCCCACTGATTAAAAGAGGAGGAGGTTGATAAATTGCATCAGTGTCATATTTTACTAGGTGTGATCCAACACTCTGTCTTCAGTGGTATCACAGAAAGAAATAAGGACTAAAATTTTTTCCTGGGTTGAGAGGGGAAAATAGTGGTTAACTTACCGGGAGCGGTAATAAATTAGTTTGCCTAGGACAGCTGTCACTCCAGCAGAGATTCCAGCTGCTACCTTTCCTTTAGGAAAGGTAAGGGCACTCAGTTTTGCTTTAAGATTACTTTGAGTTTATTCACATGTATCACTAATAACATGTTTTTATGTTACACTGTTTTTATGTTGCACTCATTGGCAATTCTGGTTTTTAATACCAACATTTAATATTTAAAATACTACTGTTTTCATGAAACGTTGCAAAATTGTGATTGGAAAGCTTGGCTGTAGCAGCCAAGTGAAATATTTCCATTTAAGCAAGAAATTTAAAAACGTTAGTATACACCTACTTCCCTCATATTCTCACCATGATGTTTAACTGTTCTTAATGTCTTTGGTGAGAGACCTTCAAAAATATAGGTGCTCTTTTATATATATTTTAGTCACTAATCTTGTTACACATTAATACTTTTTTCCTTTGAGAAAATATTTCTTACTTATTGAACTTTATAAATAAGTTCTGTTTGTGGTTCTGCAGTGAGACTTTGTCTGCACTATGTCTGCACTTCTTCATTTTCTGCCATTTTTATGAATCATAATAGTGAGTCATTGCCACTGGGATGTACCCTAATTCTCAAAAACTGAAGTCTGAGCTGATTTTGGCATGATTAAAACAGAAAGGGCCTGCTTCTGCAGATTTTCTTTTCTTACAATTCACATATTTCTCATCATTCGGTTTTCTTTCAAGATATTTGAGTGAATTAACAAACAGGCCTGTATTTCTCAGACTCCAGGCTTCTCCCCTTCAATATATCCCTTTACGTTCTGCCCGTTTCCTGTGTTTGTACCTGTTTTGTACAATATTTTAGACTTTTATTTCTTGTGATTAAGCACCCTTAGTGTGAAAAAAAATCTGTCCTACCAAATAAAATTAGAAACATAGATTGATACCAGATTACCTAGAGGACTTTGAATGTGGTCAGAATTTGTATTTTTTTCTGTAGGTAGTGGGGATCTTTCAAGCTTTACAAACAAAAAACTTTGTGATGGTGCAAGATTATAGAAGTCTTACTAAGATTTGTAATCAGAGAAGGAGAAGGGGAAAATGAGCAATTTTGAAGGAGTCAGAATGGCTCATTTGTAGGCTGCGATTTGCTTTTCTCTCTACCCCCCACAGTAGTTTTACAGACAACAAAATAAAACATTGTCCTGTGGTGTCTGTAAAAGAAAAAGCACCGAACAGAACCTTATGTTGATTGGCTTTCCAAGTCAAGGTATCACATTAAGGACTAGCATAGTCTGTGGAAATCTGAACTACTTTGGAGTAAGTTTTGGAACTCCCTTAGTGAATGAGAATGGGATGTTAGGTCCTCTGTGCCTTCCCTTGCTTTTCATGTCTTTCTCTTCTCTTCATGCTTCCTTTTCTTCTGTTACTTATCCTTTCTTCCCTTACATTTCTTCTCCAGGTTGACCAAAGAAGGGTACAGTGTAGCAGGTCAGATAACACATCTGATGCCCAGGGGTTTCAGTTGAATTTTAGGGATTGAGATTATTTCTAGCAGTTCATCGAAAATGAGGACAAACGCTGCAGAAGGAAGTCAAGGCTGTTTAGAGTTGTGAGGTTGGTTGAGCTTGTGAAGATATTAGAAGACATTCATATTTAGAGATTGCTTTCACCTTCTTATAACTAAATAGTATATATAAAGCCAACACTGAATCAAGTGCTTATCAGTACATTGTACCTCCTCCCTAACATTGATTCACTCATACTTTCTGTCTACCCCCCCCCACCCCCCCTTCCTTCTTCTCCAAGTCCCCTTCCCCTATCCTGAACTCAGGTAGCCTGGCCTACTGAGAGAAACCTGTTCTCTGCCTTATCAAGGCAATTGCAACCCAATCCAGGGCTGACAAGGAATGTTTTATTAGACAGGGATTACAAAGGAAAGGAGTGACTAGTAGACTTTGATTTTTAAATGTTTAATGAAAACAAATGAAGTTACACCAATGTCTTGATAAAACTGGCACAGAAGTGCCTTATAAAATATAGCCATAAACAC